TGGGGAATTCTGGGAGTTGAAGTCCACAGGTCTTAAAGTGGCCAAGGTTGAGAAACACTGCACTAAATGGAGTGGGGTATTTTGTAACTTGAAGGAAAAAATGCCCCCATCCTTAAAACAGCCCATCAGGGCATGAAGGAAGGAAGGAAGGAAGGAAGGAAGGAAGGAAGGAAGGAAGGAAGGAAGGAAGGATTGATTGAGTAAGGTATAGCGGGAGGTGATTCCTGATCAGGAAGGACCAAGATCATCTGAGCATAGGAAAGAACCCCTCTCTGGGATACTGAATATCTTGCCCGCTTGCCAGGTTTGTGCAACTCACTGCCACTGAGTGGCCAACAGCTTAAAGGATGAAGGAAATTCGGGGTGAAAGGCTGGGAGGCCACGCATTTGCCCAGAGTGTGTTTGGAAGCCAGGGGATGAATTCAACTTTCCAAAGACCGCGGTCCTTTGAAGGACACGCGGGGCTGTGCGGTTTTAAAAGCCCATTGCAAAAAAAAAAACACCAGGGGGGGACATCACGGTCCAGCATTTTGCTCATCCCTTGCAACTCGCGCACCCACACTGCTGAACGCAATTTCTGGAATTGAACAGTCTGTGGGGAAACTCAGCGATTTTATCGACTTTTGCAGCAGTCGGAGAACGTGGGGAGTCCAGGACGGCCGGGGCATGCCGCGGTGATGCTCCCTGGAGGCCACCCCAATGGATGCGCCGTGACCGGACGCACCTGAGCATGTAATGGAGTTGTTTAATATCCCACCTGTTGCTTCTGAATCACACCCAGACCCGCTTCCTGCCTTTTTTGCACTTCCCCCAGCCTTTCAAGGCGGGAAGCCAACATTCATAGGCTGTGGGTATCCAAGCAGCGAGATTATCCACCCTCCTCCCTCTTTCGATAATCACCACCTTGGAGGGGCTGAAACAAGATACTGCTTGACGTTCCCTTTTAAGCTGATCCAGGGTCTGGGCGCAGGAGACATCTGATCCCTCCTTGGAACGGCTGAGCGGGGAAGACCTGCCTTGGCTTGAACACAGCTGGGCCCGAAAGAGGATTTATTTTCGGGCCAACACAGCAAAAAATGTGTTGGAACAGGAGTTGTACTCACTCCCTCCTCTGCATTCAGGAAGGGGGGCTAAAACGCAGGCTTAGCAACAGGCGGACCTTGAGCCAAAATCTGCCCTCTTGGCCCACAACAGCTATTGCTGCAAATCAATGGACTGTCAAGCAATCTTGTTAATTTGTTTTCCCTAAGCTAACATTTTTTTTAAAAACTCTTATTCTTATTCTTTCTCTCCTTCTCTCCTTCCTTCCTTTCTTTTTTCCTTCCTTCTCTTCCTTCCTCCTTTTTCCTTTCCTTCCTTCCCTCCCTCTTTTCCTTCCTTCCTTCCTTCCTTCCTTCCTTCCTTCCTTCCTTCCTTCCTTCCTTCCTTCCTTCCTTC